TCGCCTCTGGCAGCAGTACCTGCACACCGTGCTCACAACGCTCGGCTTCCGACAGCTGCCACACAAACTCGGCATGTACAGGAAGGAGTCACGCGGCAAATTCATCCTCCTCGTTGCCTACGTCGATGACCTCCTCTACACCGGCAACGACACGGAGCTGCTGGACCAGTTTGAAGTGGATATCAAGGAGCAGCTGGAGGTCATTGTCAACCACAACGTGACCCGATTCCTGGGTCTCAACATCACCCAGTCCAATCTCTCCTATGTCGCAAGCCAGCTCGCTCAGTACATGAAGCGACTTGAAGGGGACAATCTACAAGATCTACGCCGTGCACTCCAAGACTTCATCTCTACTCCCGACGTCGGCCTCACCTACGAAGCTAACTTAACGGCTACCCTGCAGCTGCACGGCTACATAGACGCAGACCATGCGGGAGATGTTAACAACAGACGCTCCCGCACAGGATTCATCTTTCAACTTCAACCTGCTGGACTCATCTCATGGAACTCTCAGAAGCAGGAACTCATCGCCCTTTCGTCAGCCGAAGCCGAATTCATCGCCGCCAGCGCAGCTGTTCGCGAAGGATTGTACCTGATGGAGCTCCTGCAAGAAGTGAAAGTGGCGATGAACGGACACTTCACGTTACTCTGCGACAACCAGATCGCGATCAAGATCGTGAACAAGCCCGGCTTCGTGAACCGCACGAAACACATCGCCCTTCGCTACTTTTTCGTCAAGGACAAAATCGACAAGGGCAAGGTCAAGCTCACGTACTGCCCAACTGGTGACATGGCAGCCGACTTTCTGACAAAGAAACTGCCATGTCAACAGTTTCAGCACTGCGCCAACCTCTACGGAATCACCAAGAAGTCCCACGTGGCTCACCTTCAGGAATGAAGGGGAGTGTTGGAATAACCGAAAGGTTATCATAAACATTCCCGAAGGCTCTCCACTCTCGCGTCACTTCATAACGAAGTGAACGCCTGTATCAGTACTGCAATAGCTCATATAGAGCACGCGGAAGGTCGAGGGTCACCCGAAGGTCAACAGTCGAAGACAGTCAACGGTCGTGACCCTTGACTGCCTAGTAACCGCACAAGACAGTTACGAAGTGCAACGTGGTAAATGTCTAGAATGGCAATAGTCGTGGTTACTGTAGCAATGCAATTCCGTTAATAAGGGAATGTACCCGTCATAATACATGGCTAGCTAGGATTGCTATTTATATCATTGTACTTGTATCTTATAATCATCTTGTTCTCTCAATTTATTAACAAGGTCACTATAGAGACTTCACAGTTCTCTCTCCTATACTTAGCAGCTTTATCCTATCCACTACGATCCTTCAGTTATAACATCATATTCTGATGAACTATAGACTACAGATTTCTTGATGATAAATACTTTTTTATTTCGCAGCCTACCGTACTTGTTTTCCATTTGTTGGAAGCCATAAGTGTGTACCAATATGCTGAACACAAACTGCCTAACACGAAATAGCGCTCGCTGCTGGTAGAAAATGCAGAAATATTGCTTGAGAGAGGTGCTCCCTAGAGATTACGAATTCACCATTTTGACCTTGATTCTATTGCTCTACGATTTCGGGAATGGTGGTACCCCAGAGATTCGTCGGCGCTCCAAGTGCGGTTGGGCAGGCGGAATATATTGTTTTATGCCGTCGGGTTTGTAGGAAAGAACCTCTGTTAGCACGCAGCGGAAAGAAATCTTGTCGGGATAGGGAGGGGGAAAGTAATAAGGCAGTGTGTGGGAGAGGGAGAGGAGCACAAAAAGACTGGGTGTGTGAGGGAGAGGGAGAGAGGAGAAGTACAAGGCTGGGTGTGTGTGAAGAGGCATAGTAAGGCCGTGTTCAGATGAAGTGTCATCCCTGCGCAATGTGAACCTCATCCGAGCACACCTGAACCTCATCAGAACTCACCTGAACCTCATCAAAACACACCTGAAGCTTATCAAAGCACGCGTGAAGATCATCCGAAACCACCTCAAGATCATGAAAATTCACCTGAAACTCATTAGCAGGGATCGAGCCGACGTGAGTCAGTGCTTCACTCAGGTCACTTGGAAATTCGCTTTGCCCTCTGCTGCTGCCAGCTCTGTAACCTGCGAGAAGCCCAAACAGAAATGAGGCGCATTGCCGCTAAGATTGGTGACATCAGAGAGTCGGAGCCACACTTTGCTGTTGCCAGCAGGGTAACTTGCGGCGTGAGTTGGGACACATGCGAGGAGTGAGACTGAATAACCTGTAAACAATAGTCATGGACATAACACAGGGAAGAAAAGCGCAGTCTTCTGCTTCCAGCATTGTCACTTGCAGTGAATGAATTTGCTCCTCCTCCCTAAACAACACACACAGGCACGAAAACCAAAAGTGCTGCCTTTTTTCCATCCCTCCATCCCCGCACAAACAAAGAGTGTTACCTGTAGCACTCATACACGCAGTTTTCCGGAATGCCTCTTACCAGGAGACAAAGAATTTCAACTGGCTCACCCATTAGCATGCCAGAAGCATGCAATCGTTGATCATGATGTGTTTCATTCCCGCCTCGATTCCATTCCCTGTGATTCCTCCCATTCTGGTCCCTTCTCTACCCAACATGTGCGTCATCCTCACTCAATCCCTGCTGACTCATCACAGCGGCCAGTTGCCAGGCGCCCACAGCACCCAGCGCACCTCGTGAGGTTTGCTGGATGAGGCTCTCAGAGTGTCTCGACAGCATGAAAGGGGAGGAGAGGTGGGGAACTGAGAACAAGGAGCAGAGGAGCAGATTGGGTAAAGGGGGAAGTGGAGGTTTGTGGCTAGGTTCTAGTATGAATAGGTGTCACACTGTTGTGAGTGTTCACAGCACCTCCACCGCCTGGAGGAACAGGATGAAGAGAAAGTCAAGAAAAGGGGAGAAGGAAGGAGGAAGGGGAATATTACACACCACGCGTGTGAGGGAGAAGAAGGAGAAAGGTACACTATGGCCGTGCGGGCGTGCGAGGGAGAAGGAAAGATGAGACTGGGGCTCACTCTGTGAATATGCCATGGTTGTGCTATGTGAGTTGATCTCATTAGCATGCCTGAAACTTATCACATAAAACTTATCAAAGCACTTTGACGTTCATCAGCAGGAACGGAGAGCAGGAGAGTCACAGCTTCCCTCAGGTGCCCTCGCAGATTTGATTTCCAGCAAGAAAAACAATGCTCTCTGCTGCTGCCAGCACTGTCACCTGGGAAAGATCAGGCAAATTCCAATTACGTAAGGCGCCCTTGCTGCTGCCTGCCTGCCCGCACTGTCACTTGCGGTGTGAGCTGAGATTCAAGCTGGGAGTGAGGCTGAGTAACCCGTAAGAATGGTCATGGACATAACACTAGGCAGGTACGTTCACTCTGCATGCTGCTGCCAGCTCTGACTGTCACCTGCGGTGAATGAATCTGCTCTTCCTCCCGGAAGTACTCACAAACAACACATTTGTGAAACCAAAGAGCTGCCCTTTTCTCCATCCCTCCATCCCCACACAAACAGAGAATGATGTTACCTGTCTCACTCAGAATGCAATATTCCAGAATGCTTCTTACCAGGCGACTGAGAACCCGACATGGCTCACCTCACCCTTTGACTAGGCTTACAACTCGACTCAGCTCCACATGGGAAAACGTTTCACTGCACTTTCACACAGAATAGCTAACCCTTTCTCTGGCTTGACCTCCATACACAGAAGCACAGTGGCTTGTTAGAAATGGAAACTAAGTCGATAAAGCATTTCCACTCATTTGATCCCACGTGATCCTCATCTGCCTGTCTCACTGTTCCATACAGCCTACCCCCTCTCCTCTCTCAGCCATTCCCCCCCCTCGACTCCATCCCACATCTCCTTTCCATCTCCCTCTCCCCTCTCCCTCGTCATCATTCCCACTAATCACAGAACGTACCTTGATGCTTGCCTGCCTGCCTCTACAACGCATACAACGCATCCCACCCCACTGAATCTACAGCTTTTCTTCCGTATGTTGTATGGGACAGGACAGGCAGGCATGCAGCTGAGGAGATCAACCAAGTGAGAGAAATTATGTTTGAAGAGAAACATATGATTGGATTAAGGAAAGCAGGGGTATACATAGGTGGAGCTAGAAGGGGGGGTTGGTTGCTAACCTAGGCTAGCATTATTGGTTCACCACCGGTGCAGGGGATGGAAAAGCTGGTGTCTGTACCGTGTACCTGAGTGGGAAGAGGTAGTGGAGTGAGGGTGCCAGTGTCTTTGAGCGCCGTCTCAGTGGCCCCACTATCCAGGGTGGGGGAGGAGAAGGAGTGGGACATGGAGTTCTGGAAGGTAGGCTCATTAAGGGAAGAAGGGTACATGGGAGGAAGAGAAGGTGTGACAGCTATATTACCAAGGAAGCTATCATGGGTGAGGGGGGTGGCAACACCAGCGGGGGGAGGAGGAGGGGGGGGCGCCCCAGAGAGGGGCAAGGGAGGTCTGATCGGCAATGGCAGCCGTTCCGAAGTTCAGCTAGTGTTGCTGCCAGGGAGTAGCTCCAGGTCCCTATTGCGGCTGTGGTCCAGGTCCCCATGGGTGATGCTACTGCTGCTTCTGCTGCTGCTACTGCTGAAACTGCTGCTGCTGCTGCTGGAACTGCTGCTGCTGCTGCTGCATGAGATGCTGCTGTTGGAGATTGAGGTATTGCTGGGGGGGAGCGAGGAGGCGGAGGTGATGGTGTGTGGGGCGTGGTTTGGATGTCACCGAGGGAGGGGCGTGGGGTGATGGTGCCCCAGCGCGGAGGGATGCCGACATTGCCTCGCTCGAACCAGGCATCGTCGAGAGCCTTGAAGCACGTGGTGGGAGGGTGAGTGGTCTAACTGCAGGGTGTGCCTGCGCAGGGACCGTGGCGACGAATGTAGGAGCAAGGTGGGAGGGTACTTGGAGGGGTTCCACGACCCCCAGAGGAGGAGCTACCAGAGGTAGTGGTAGGTGTGCAGTGCTCATCTCCACCGGTGCCTCCTCAACTGCTACCGCCACCGCTTCCCTCACCACGCCCTCCACCACTCTTGCTTCCACCTCCCCCTTTGCCGTTGCAGTTGCCCTGCTTGCGTGACTGTGTGGCGTTGAGGGAGGAGGAGGAGGGCTGCGGGGTGGCGAGATTGACGATGGAGGTGCGGAGTTTGACTTCGGTCTCAATGATCCACTGTTCGACAGATCCGAGGTCAGCCATAGGGTTGGCTTCGGTGAAGGCATGAAGGCGGGATTCATAGTCGGGGGTGAGATTGAAGAGCAGGCGATGAATCTTGAGAGGTTCGGAGAGGCCGGCCTGGCGAGCGTCGAGACGATCAGCTACCTCCCTCATCTGCTCCACATAGTCGACTGCACCATCGTAGGTGGCGAGCATGACACAGAAGTATTCCTGGAAAGGGATGCCGACGGAGCTGATGTCGCGGCGCTCAAACATCGCGTGCAGTTCCGCCCAGATCACGGAGGCGCGGAGCTCTCGAGCCTGGAAGCGACGCATCAGGGTGTCAGGGAGGGCTCCAAGGAGAACGGTGCAGGCGCGGTTGTCAACGGCGGACCAGGCAATAAGCGTGGGGGTGTAGGTTGCCATGTTTTCGTTGTCCTTGGTAACGATCCCAAGGTGGGCATCACGGCCTGCAACGGCCTGCGCATAGTTCTCGGCCGCAGCGTCGTAGTCGGCCTTGCGGATGAGATATTCGCGGCGACGAAGGAGGACGTCTGTGTCCGCGGTGGCTTGGAGGTCGGGTTTTGTGGCGACTTGGAGCTCGGGTTCAGGAGGAGGAGTGCCAGGAGTGGGTGGGAGGGGGGTAGTTTCGCCGGGGTGATCGGGCACTGTAGGGGGGAGAGCTTGCGAGTGGCGAAGGAGTACGTCGAGGACGCAATAACGGGGGACCCATGCATCCTTGAGAACACGACGTACGCTCCCCACGAAGGACTACCAATTGATGGCGAACTTGTCCGCGGCGAGTTGGAGCTTGTCAATGGAGGAGATGTCGATAGGAGGGGGGGGAGGGGAAGGAGGAGACAGAAGGGTGGTGGCCATGGGTGGAAACTGCGGGTGGACCCACGGTGGCCGGGAGGACTGCTGCCACTGCTGCTGACTGGATGTCCGGGCCGGCGGGCTTGATGCCCGGGCCGGCGGGCTTGATGCCCGGGCCGGCGGGCTTGATGCCCGGGCCGGCGGGCTTGATGCCCGGGCCGGCGGGCTTGATGCCCGGGCCGGCGGGCTTGATGCCCGGGCCGGCGGGCTTGATGCCCGGGCCGGCGGGCTTGATGCCCGGGCCGGCGGGCTTGCTGCCCGGGCCGGCGGGCTTGCTGCCCGGGCCGGCGGGCTTGCTGCCCGGGCCGGCGGGCTTGCTGCCCGGGCCGGCGGGCTTGCTGCCCGGGCCGGCGGGCTTGCTGCCCGGGCCGGCGGGCTTGCTGCCCGGGCCGGCGAGCTAGGTGTCCGAGCTGGAGGTAGGGGTTGAGGCGACGGAGGGTCGCGGCGTTGAGCGCACTGGCGGCGGCGGCGATAGGGGCCGCTGCGGGGACGGCGCAGGATGCGGCGATGAGAGGTCGCAACGAGGAGCGCGTGGGCGGCGGCGGCGACGGGGCCGCGGCGGCGACGATGCGTGGGAAGCGACGACGGGGGTCGCGGCGAGGTGAGTGGGAGCAGCGGCGGATTGGCCGCGGCGGCGTAATCAGGGGCGACGGTAGCGTCGTGGCGATGAGAGGGTAAGCGGCGGCGGCAAGGTGACCGCGGCGGCGAAAAGGTGGCGACGGGACCGTCGCGGAACGGGAGGGAGGCTTGTGGTGGCGGGAAGGCCGCGGCTGTGAAACAGAGGGGAGCGGGGAAAGCCGGGGGTTGCGACGGCAAGGTGGGCCCTTTGGGAGAAAAATGGAGAGGGAGGGTAGTTAGGCCTAGGAACGTTGTAAGCTCTATACCATGAGAGAAAGTATGTTTGAAGAGAAACGGATGATTGGATTAAGGAAAACAGGGGTATACATAGGTGGAGCTAGAAGGGGGGGTTGGTTGCTAACCTGGGCTAGCATTATTGGTTCACCACCAATAATCTTCCCAACCCAACCTTTGGGGTCCAATAATTGGACCAAGGTTGGGGTCCAATAATTGGACCAAGGTTGGGTTCCAACCTCCGAATAGGGTTATCCCTGATTGTACACCCAAAGTAAACTTGGGTGCCTATCTCTAGCCTATCTTATAGCATGTATGCAGGTTACTAGAGGAGAATATTTCTAACACCAAGCCGACCACCATTTCTGATGGATGGGCGTGAGGGGAGTGATGGCGAGGAAGATAAAAGAGAGAGAAATACTGCGAGATGAACAAAGGGAGATACGAGGGTTGTGCAGCAGCGTGAGCACCTTCTTTGCTGAATTATGGCGGCTGGAATGAAGAAAAAACAGGAGGAAGAGACGGAGGAGTGGAATGAGTACGGGAAATGGAAGAGATATAGAAGGGAATGAGCACGCACGAGAGAAAGAGACAGAGGAAGGGAATGTGGGAGCATGAGAGGAAGAGACAGAAGAAGGGAATAAGAACGCATGAGAGAAAGAGACAGAGGAAGGGAATGAGAACGCATGAGAGAAAGAGACAGAGGAAGGGTATGAGAACGCATAAGAGAAAGAGACAGAGGAAGGGAATGAGAACGCATGAGAGAAAGAGACAGAGGAAGGGAATGTGGAATCATGAGAGGAAGAGACGAGGTAATCAGGAAGCAAGCGCGGAAGAGGAAGCGGAAGCAAGTGAGCGGCATAAAATAGACAGGAAAGGAGAAAGAGGAACAGATGAGACACTTGGGGTGCAGCAGGCGAGGGGGAAAAGCTTCATGAGGAACCCTAAATTTCTGGTGTGCAAAACCAAAAGTAGCAATGCACGCGGGAGAGATACTCAAACAACACGCTGGAAAAGAAAACATACTCACGCGGAAACAATGTACAGTACTGTAGAGAAAGTGCAGTACCTTGCAGGATGCCGTGACAGACCTCTGCTGCTACTAGCACTGTCACCTGCAGCGAATGAATCTGCTATTCCCCCCTATAACATGTGACATGGAAACCGATGTGCTGCCTTGTTCTCCTGCGCCACGCATTCCTTTCAGGATTCACGACAAGAGCGTTACCGGCAGCACTTGTAGATGCAGGATTCTGGAAATATGAGAGGAAGAGATAGAGGGAACATGAGATGAAGGGAAAGAGGGAGGGAATAGGGAAGAGCGAGAGGAAGAGACGAAAGGAATGAGGAAGAAACTGAGGACGAGAGACTAGGGAAGCGAGTGAGTGGCAGGAATTAGATGGGAAAGGAGAAAGAGGAAAGGATGGACACTTGAGGTGAAGCAGACGAGGAGAAACAGTCCATGCCAATTCCAACGAGGGAAAAAACATCACATAGCACTATGTACACTGCAAGACGTAATGAAGGCCCTCCAGGGAGCTCGCATCAGCGCGATCCGTGATTCGATCCAGATCCCGCTGAAAGCGTCTAGCCGTCTAGCAGTGTACAATCCAACGTCTAACCGTCTCTGGAATCTATCCTCAAGGCGGCGGCGGAGCGAACGAGCAGATGCGGGACGGCGAAGCCGCAGATTCCGCCGATTCTTTCCGCCTTGCAGTGAAGTTGACATCGTTGCTTCGAAAATATCTCTCCGCTGATCGAGACTACCCCAGCAAACCCATGCGCGACCTATTTCGAGGGAAATGCGAACGCGCCGACACGCGAGCGCTGGAAATGGTCGTCGACTGGCGTCAGCGTGACTCGAAGGTGACAATAACGAGAACGCGAGGAGAGCGAGCTGCTGCCCGTGGTACAAGCACAGGCGGCTGTTAGGCGAGACGCGAGCGATTGAAGGTTCAGGGAAGCAGTTGTGTGTCAGTGGTGCAGTTCGGCTGAGTGAGTGCAACGCGCTAAAACAGTTCTTGATACAGCATAGTCAAAATCACTCTATTGTTTACTCAGTTTGATCACGGCTTGATATTTCCACATTGAGCTCCAGCATCACCTCTAAACTCTGCTCATCACCCTCTACAAAGTGGTGGCGAAGGTGCTGGCTACAAGGTTAAAACAGGTGCTGGGCAAGGTGCTCTCCAAGGAGCAGCATGGCTTCCTACCATGGAGAAGTCTGGCGGATGCAGTTTCAGTGGTGGTAGACGCGGTAAAGGCGGCAAACAATGGCGGCAAGGACTGGCTGCTGTTACTTGTCGATTTTTAGAAGGCATATGATACGGTCTCACGTAATCTTCATTCGCTGGACGGAAGACCTACACAAGGGAGCGGGGACAAAGGTGGCGGTGAATGGGTGGTTGAGTGAAAAGGTGGAAATGGACAGAGGAGTGCGTCAAGGGTGTTCGCTGGCGCCCTACCTTTTCCTCTGCGCCCTTGAACCTTTGTGTAGAGAAACCGTCCGACAGAGGTTGGGGGTGACCGTGCCGGGGGACCAACGACTGTCGTATGTGGGATACACGGACGACCCATCGTTTCTTCTGGACGGCGAGGCATAGCTGAAGGAGTCGGAGAAGCTGCTGGAGGTGTTAGGGAAGCAGTCTGGGCTGAAGGTCAACTGCGGTAAATCGGTAGTGTTGCCGCTGGGATGTAACCGCGGAAAGGCGGCGCCAGTGGGCTTAAGTTTCAAATGGGTGGAGAAGGAGGAACTGGGGTGGCTTCTGGGTATCTGGATAACACCGAACGGTGATGCGGCACCATCATGGGACAAAACCTACGAGAGGGTGAAGGAGGAACTGGGGAGATGGGAGGCACAGTATTTGACAACAACAGTGAGAGTGGCGGTGGTCAGCTGCTATGTGCTGCCAATCGTGATGTTTCAGGCACAGGTGTGCTCACCACCAGAGAAAATTCGGGAGAAGATACGGAAGCTATGCCATACTTTCGTCTCGGGGGGAGAAGCGACGGACGAACGGAGGTTCATGCTGTGGAGCGCTTACCTGGTCAGTCTGCCGAGGAAGGACGGGGGTTTGGGGCTGGCGGACCTTAAGCTGTGGCTGGACGGACTGGCGATCCGCAGGGTGGGGGAGCTGCTAGCGGAACTGGACGGGGTACGTCAGTGGCTGGCGGAGGAAGCGGCCAACCTCCCGCAGGGGACGGTGACATGGTATGCGCATCCGGCGATAATTAAAAAATGGTCGGGCGGAAGCGAGAGATGGAAGGCGGCGGCTAAGGCCTTCTGGAGCTCCCCACTAGCAGATCTTTCGGAGCTTGCAACCAGATGGGAGGTGGATGAAGAGTGGATATGTTTCAACAAGAGTTGATGCACAGACGGAAGAGTCCTTTCGGGCTTCAAAAGGGTGCGGATGTGTTACTAAACCTGCGTGTTCGCGACCTTCTCGAGAGCCTGCCAGATGACAGAAGGAGACCAAAGAAGCTTGAGGAGTTGACGGCGGAGCTAGGCGATGAGGTGGCAGCGGCGCTGGCTCTCAAAGCCTATGAGGCGCTCCCAGCGGCCTGGAAAGAGCTGGCGCTGGCACCTGTCACAGTACAAGTGCTGCAGTGAGTCGCGAAGGTCGTAAGTGTGTCAACACGGAGGCCCGATGAAAAGGTGTACTGGGCAGTGGGGGATGCGGAAGGTAGCAAGGTGAACACTACATACCTACAGCGGAATGAAGGAGGGGAGATGGAGGTCCCGGAGGGACCCACGAGAGCGTGTTTCGATGTCTGCAGAGTACAACCAGTGGCGGCGCAAGGAATGAAGTTGACTGGACCGGTGGGGGTCGCCAGGACGAAGTTGATAACACAGACTAAGCTATTTGATAAGGGCGAGTTGGTACCGCTGCGGCAGATAAGGCGGGCTATAACGAGAGACGAGGGAGTTTCGAGAAGGCAGGGAGAATGGGAGGCTGTGTGGGGGAGAGAGATTGACTGGAAAGCGGCAATTGCAAGAAGAGACTCGGTGGTGGTGCCGCAAAGAGCAAGGGACGTGTTGCTCAGAGCTCACAGCATGAACCTGCAGGTGGGGGGGAGACTGGATTTCATGAGGAACAGTATTGACTGCCCTCACTGTGGGGGGTTTGAAACCCTAGATCATTGCCTCTTCAGCGGCGAGGCCATCCAGCCGGAAATTGGCGCGCTTGTGAGAACACTGGAGCTCATGGATCCAGGCAAGAGGGAAAACTCGCTAGAGGACCTGATTTTCGAGAAAGGGGGGACTGTGTCAGGTTTCCCGGAAACAAAAATGATTGCAAAGGTGCTGCGACAAATTTGGCTAGCCCGATGTGATGCCGTGTGGAGGAAAACCCCCTTCCAGCGGAAGAAGGTGGGGCGGAATGCGGTGGTCGGTTTCATGACACACGCGAGAGTGGTGCTGGCAGCGAGGGCGAGAGAGGCGGTGAGAGATGGAAAACAGAAGAGCGGGGGCTATGACGCGTGGGGCCAGGTGGCGCAAGATGAGATGAGGGCGCTGAGGGAGACCAGCGCGAAGGAAGGGCCAACCAAATCAACCACCACTGGCAGGGCCCTTGCCCCCCACGCCTACAGTTACGACTGAGGATGTACCTATGTTTTCTTTAATATATCTACATCCACCAAAAAAGAAAAGAAAAAGGAAAAAAGAAACCTCTAAACTCTGCGTTTAGAATATACATTGAATTAAATTATATTGAACTAGATAGTATATTGTTACCTTAACTTAACACCATCACAACTCAAAGTACCGGTCCATAGCGCTAATCGTGGTACACAATTCGTGATAATATGCCTCTTGCTCAAGGATCCCAATACCATAATTTCTTTGTCATCGGTTTCAATTGCGTCCTATTTACTATGTTTTCCGAATTTCAGGAAACCATATTCGTGTACAAATACAGATGGATGAAAGCTCAACATGAAATAGCACTGGTGGTTGATAATGTAATTCCTATTATGGACGAGGAGCTCCCTAGGGAGTACGAATCCACCCATTCTGACCTCGATCCCATCCTCCCGTCCTTCTCAGGGCGCGTGTCTTGTAAGAATTTGGGTGAAGTTCATGTGTTTTTGTCGAACTTTCACATTTGAAGTCTGGTCGACCTAGTCTCGACCATCTCGACTTTTGGTGGTCAAGGAGCACCATCAACAAGCCCGAGTCGCGCATGGAACAACAAAGTTCGACTATCAAAGTTCAACTTTAAACGTGTAATCCCGAGTCGCGCTAAATTTTCGTAGGTTACCTGGATTCGCAGTACTATTTGTGACCTAATCCGGATTTTGTAACACAGTAGACCGTAGCTCGTTACTGTCGAGAGTAGGAGAGTTGGAGCTTGCAGGGGTGC